GCATCAGCTTTACTCCCTGGGGCGCATGCTCCAGGGTCTCTCTGGCCCCGCGGTTCTCAACCTGTGGGTCGAGACCCCTTTGGGGGTCGAACAACCTCTGTTCCTAACAGTAGCAAAATGACTGAAGAAGTAGCAACAGAAATAACTGTGTGGTTGGGGTCACCCCCACATGAGGACTTGTAGGAAAGGGTCACGGCATGAGGAAGGTGAACCACGGCTCTAGCCTTTCTTTCCCTGAGGGGCATGCACGCTGTTCCCATCTTCCTGAGACTGTGGACAGTGCTGACAAATACGGGCGCACGCACATCTGTCCATGCTTCCGTTCCTACTAATTTAGGGCACCTACCCAGCAAAGGGATAGCTGGGTCCTATGGAATTCCCATTCCCAGTCATGCGAGGGAAAGCCAGACCCCTTCCCACCGTGGCTGCACAGTGGTGCAATCCCACCAGCTGTATACGAGGGTCCCCACCTCTCTGCACCCTCACCAGCCCGGGTGCCTCTCTGTTTGTGTGCACGTGGCTGTCAGGGCCCATGGGAGGCGGCACCTCTCAGATGGCTAGATCCCGAGCATTGCTCACATGCGGTGTTTGCATCGGTGAACGGTCTGTGTGTGTCCTCTAGAGCAGTCCTTTGGGCGTTGGTAAGGAATTCCACTTTGCCGCTATTCCCCCATCTGACCAAAATCCTGTCTTTGACAGCTCCGTGGTGGTCAACATGCACAAGGCTGCAGTGAGCATTCTTCTGACCAAGTGTACACACGCCCCTAATTCCCTCCTCGGATGCCTCCTAGCAGTCAACTGGACAGACCACCCCAGAGACAGAGTCCCAGTGTCTACTCCCCGGCCCCAGTCCCTAAGCAGGGTGTGAAAGGGCATTCATTCCCACCCCCTCTAGACCGGCCCTACTCTCAGAAAACAATGTTCCTGAGAGGGCAAGAGAGGGGCTGACACGTGCCAGCACCCGGTCTTGCGCGTCAGCTTCTGGATGCCAAGCCTGGAGCTGTTTCTGTGGCCCCCGTCTTCACGTGGTGCCCTTTCCCTCTGAGCTGGCCTGAGCGTAGGCTTGGTGTGTGAGCATCTATAGTGGGCACTGCCCCACCCCCCAACCCCCCGCCGGTTCCCCTCCAGCTGCGGTGGCTTGGCACATTGGCCGTGGGTGGTGCTTGGAACACCGACAGAATCCACCTTAGGTGCAAACATCTCTGTAGCCCCGCTACCCGAGGGCTTTCTCTGTCCCTAGAGCCTTCTCCACCACAGTGGTCTCAGCCCAGAGAGGTTACACCCCCACGGGGCGGGGGTGGCGGGAGGACCACCCCCCTCCCATCCTCTCATGATCAGTGGAGAAAAGATGGGTTTCATCTTGCTTGGATTCACCGTCAGTGCTCGTGGAAGCAGCGGCCAAGATCAAGTGCCACGCCGCGTCGGGCAAACCTCTTTCACGTGTGGAGAAGCGGGAAGGTCACTTTGAGGACTAAGTGGGCCTGACCCAAGTCAGGGTATTTTCAGTGGCCTCCTACGCGTGTGCACGTTGGGCCCCGAATAAGGAAGACTCCGGAGGAGTCCGTGCCTGTGCGTTCAGGTGCGTGATGGGCACTGGCAAGACAGCAAAAGGAACCTGTCTCGGCAGAAGGACACTCAGAATGCTCCTGGGAGGCGAAGATGGCGAGACTGTCTCGCGATGTACTTGTCAGGAGACACCGGTCCCTGCAGGAGGACATCGTGCTTGGTCAACAGGGGCAGCGAGAGCAGGGGCCCTTAACCAGATGGACTGCCACGGGCTGTCGCCATGGGCTCAGGCAGAAGAACGCTGTGGGGCTGGTGCAGGCTGGGCGGCACGGTGTGTTGTGCGGGGAGTCGCTGTGAGTCAGAACTGCCCCCATGGCCCCTCCCTGTAGCCACTGCTGCAGCCCTTCCGCTGAGCTCTGCTCTGCGTGGTTTCAAAGAGGACCCACACAGGGTCGAAGCCCAGCTGCCTCCGGAGTGCAGAAGAAAGAGGTGGCCATCTGCTTCCAGGAAGACTGCCCAGGGGCCAGTGCTCCTGTGTCCTAGGAATCAGAAGCAGCTCACCGGCCCTGAGCGGGTCTTTGATCAAACGCCAGCCCAAAGATGCCTCCCTCATTCTCTCTCTCTGAGGCGTGAAAAAACCTGGGCCCCGGCGGAAGCTTGGGCTGTGAGGTCAGTCACCTCCGACCGCCTTGCTTTGCGTTTTGTACAAGGATCCGTCGCTCCCGCCGGACGCATTCACAGCGCAGACTTCTGAAAGTCGGCCTCAGCCCCTCTCCTGACGCGTGGGCTTGTGATGAGTTCGTAGTCGAGTGCACCAGCGGCTAACGGCAAGGTCAGCAGTTTGAAGCCATCGGCTGCTCTCCGGGGGGAAGATGAGGCCTGAGAGATGGACGGACGCCTTCAGAGACTCCGAGAGGGGCCTTTCTACCCTGCCCTCCAGGGCCTCTCTGAGCCTGCCGTGGGTTTGATTTTTGGCTTTGTCTTCAGAGTAATCAACACAGCCTTGTTTTGTTTTTTTTTTGGGGGGGGATGATGCCTGTTTGCCCTTTCCTCACCCCCTTTCCGCATCTTCTGACTACGTTCCTGGGGTCGCCTCCCACTAAAATGCCTGCCCCCGAGCCTGGCCATGGGGCATTCCTTTGGAGGAGTCCCGGGGGTACTTCATTTGGCAGCCGTAACCTCTGGCTGCCCTCTCCTCCGCCCAGACTCACGGAGGCCTCAAAACCCAAACCAGGACTCACTGCCAGTCGAGCTGGTCCCAACTCACGGCGACCCTGTAAGACAGGGTGGAACCGTCCCTGCGGGTGTCTGAGACTGGAACGCTTTTCAGAAGCAGCCAGCCTCCTCTCTCACTCTCTTTCTCTCTCTCTCTCTCTCTCTCTCTCTGCAGACCTTGCACTTAGCAACCCAGCACGTCTCCATTAGGCCACCAGGGCCGGGCTCCTCGGGGAGCTGAGGTGTGTCGGAAGAGAACGGTGGCTGCCATGGCTCCCCACTAACGCACCGTCCTGTGCCCCAGAGCTGGGGCATCGGCCAGAACGGAAACCTGCCCTGGCCCACGCTCAGGAATGACTCCCAGTATTTCCAGAGGACCACGACCACCTCTTCAGGAGAAAGCAAACAATTTGGTGATTGCGGGGAGCAAGAAGACCTGGGACCTGGTTCTCCGTTCCTGAGACGAGGGACAGTTCGTGTAGCTGTCAGACGAGAACTCAAGGGCAGACACCCCACAAGGAGCTCATTTTCTTGCCAAAAGTCTGGATGGTGCCTTCAAACTCTTTGAGCGACCAGCATGAGGAATAACGGTGGCATGGTTTGGATCACAGGCGGCAGGTCTGTTTATAAGGAAGCCGTGGATCTAACCGGAAGTACTGGTGTCTGGAATTCCTGGAGCTTAGCACTCAACTCGTCCATAAATAGAAACTGATAAATACACCAACTGGAAAAGGACTTGTGCTCCACGGTGTCCTCAGTGGCTGCTCTTCCAGATGTAGATTGATCACCAGGCCTTTCTTCCAAGGCACTTCTGGTTGGGTTTGAACCACCAACCCTCCAGCTAGTAGCCAACTATGCTGTTCACACCAGCGGGCAGGCTAGATTGTGATTACAAGCACCCCAAGAGGCTCAGCTGAAATGCAGTAGAAGTTCTTGTCTCCTCCCTGTATCAGCGCAGGGTGGGCCTAGGGCAGGCAGCCTATAGGGGGTGGGGGGGTGGGAGAGGTCAGTTCAGGGACTCAGCAGCTCTGAGCCCATCCCCATCACGTGACTGACTCCCCAGGGGCCTCCAGCTGTCTATGTTTCATAGGAAGAGCACACGGAAGCTTCTGGCCAGGCCCTGAGGTGGCTCCAGTCACGTCCCCTCACTTTTGAGAGGAAATGGTCTTGTGGCCGCACCTCAGTGTGAGAGAGGCTGGTCACCCCCACCCACTGCCCTTCCCTCTTGTTGGGTGCTACAGATTGGACCCCACAGGACAGAGCAGAACTGCCGCCCAGGGTCTCCTAGGTGGGAATCACCAGCCCTTCTGACCGCAGAGCCTCTGACTGGGTTCAAACTGCCCACCTTCAAGTTGGCAGCTGAGCGCTTCACGGCTCTACTCCTTCAGTGCTGCTGCCATGGGGTGCCATCCAGTCCGACTCACGGGGACCCGGTACAACAGAGGAGGAACCCCGGGTCCTGTGCCACCCTCAGAGTTGTTCCACTGTCAGTCCGTCCTGTAGAAGGTCTGCCCCTCTACCCCACCAAGCATGATGTCCTTCCCCAGGGCCAGGCCTCTCCTGATCACCTGTCTAGAGAATGTGGACCAAGTCTCCTCCTCCTTGCTTCCAAGGAGCATTCTGGCCATACCCCTACCGTCCATGCCACTTCCCCAGATCCGTGCCAGCCCCGCCATTCAAATGCGTTGGTTCCTTTTCGGTCGCCCATCTTTTTCCAGTGCTCACCTTTCACAGCATGGGAGGGTCAGGCGCCCCTTGGTCCTCAAAGCAGCATCCTTGCTTCTCAGCGCGCTCAGGAGGCTTGGGCAGCAGACTGACCCAGTGTCGTGTGTCACGTGACCTCCTGACGGCGGCTTCCGTGAGCCTGGATGGTGAGCCAAGCAAGATGAACTCCCCGACCACATCCATCTTTTCTCCATTTATTATGACGCTGTCGGTCCGGTTGTGAGGACTGGGCTCCTCTTTACGCGGACACGCAAGCCGTACTGAAGGCTTCCAACCCTGATCTCCACTAGCAAGCGCTTCGCGTCCTCCTGGCTTTCAGCAAGCGAGCGTGTGGCGTGTGGCGTCTGCTAACCGGGGTTGCTCACGAGCCTGCCTCCCAGCCTGAAGCTGAGTTCTTCCTGTCGCAGCCCTGGGCGCTCAGAGAACGCCCTCCAGTGAAAGATTCGCCGTCTCAGCCACGTCCCTCAGAAGAAACAAACCCCCTCGCCCCAGTTTTCGACTTTAAACACAGCCTTTCCGTTGGTGAAATCCGGGTTTGTTTTTTGTCATTTTAGGCAGCCGAGGCATCGGGCACCTGCTCTGCCAGGATGAGCTGCTGCGGGCCTCTCTGTCGCTGTCCCATGCCAGCTCCATGCTCCTCACCACCGGTTTCCCCACACACTTCACCCACGAGCCCCCGGAAGAGAATGACGGCCCCCCGGGCGCCCTGGCCCTGGGCGCCTTCCTGCAGGCCTTGGGGAAGAAGGTGTCCATGGTTGTGGACCGGAGAGCCTTGGACCTGCACGAGAAGCTCATTAAAGAGGCCGTGGAGCAAGGTGGGCCAGCAGAGGGCAGCCCTAGTCCCCAGATGGCCTCTGTGGGCGGGGGCTGGAGGGAGTCCATGTGGGTGGACATCTGCTGGACGTCCAGGGACATGTAGGGCATCATCCAGAAAGCTCAGAACAGCTGTTTGGTGCCAGCAGGATGCTCCCCATTTTATAGATGATGAGACTGGGGTTCAGAGAGTCCTGGGGAGCTACCAAGGCAGGAGTGATTAACTGGACTTTGAACCCAGGACCACCAAGCCTGAGACCCTCCCGTGCACCTGCTGCTGTTCTTCTGCTCGCAGCTCCCCAGGTCAGCCCTGGACCACCGGGGCTGGCCGCAGGGTTATGGGGTACAGAGAGGTCCAAGAGCTTGGACAGCACCCCTCAGGGACCACTGAGCAAGGGCGGCTCCCTCTGCCCGGCGGGGTTCCCGGAGCTCCAGGTGACTGGGAGAGCTGCAGGTGTTGGCGATGTAAGCTGTGGGGGTGCCCTTCGGATATAACCTGGACACCTAGTGATCAGAACCTGCTTCCCACCACCTGTCCCTCTGGGTCCCTCTGGGCCTCCCAGAGAAGCATCTTCCCTGCGTGTTTAAGGAGGACTTCCGCCCAGGACAGCACACCCTTCACCCCTGTGATGTGGCACTCACACTCGCTCCCTGCCATCGAGTCGAGACCCGGTAGGACAGGGCAGCGCTGCCCCCGTGGGTTTCTGAGACTGGCTCTTTACAGGGACAGAAAGCCTTGTCTCTCTCCTGCCAGGTAGCTGGTGGGTCTGGACCACCAAGCCTGCAGTTAGCAGCCCGAGGCATAACCCACGCTGCCACCAGAGGTCCTCCTGGGGATGTGGGGGCCTTCAAAAAAGGGGTGCCTGTACAGACAGTGGTTTGGACGGAATCCATCTCACTCGCTCAACGTGTAACAAGCACTCACTGTAGTGCACCCACTGGATGCCAGATACTCCCCTAGACGCCTGAGGGGCCCCCAGGGGACAAACGAGCAGCAAACCCTGCCCTCGAAAGAGGGGACGCTACCATAGGACGTCAACTTAAGATGGGCAGGTAGTATAGGATCCGGTTCCACTCATATGACGTTATCTAGAACGGGCGACAGAAGTTTACTAGCAGGTACCAGTCGTGGGAGCCCTGGCAGAGTGGTGGTTACTTGTTAGGCTGCCAACCTCAGCAAGGTCAAGGTCAGCAGTTCAAGCTCACCAGTCACCCCTCGGGGGAAAGACGGGGCTCTCTGCTCCCCTAAAGAGCTACAGGCTCCGAAGCTCACAGGGGCTGTCCTACCTCTGAGTCTGCATCAAGCCCGTGGCCCTGAGTGAGTCGTGGAGGGAGGGAGGGGGTAGTCATGCTGCAGGTGGGGGTGGGGAGGTCAGGTAAGCTGCTGTTCGTGGACGTGGGATCACCTGGTTTTGTGTTGACAAGGTCGCTGGAGAGCCGAGGTAGACCCAGGAGAGGGGCCAGGCTCCTGCCCACGAGGCTTCAGGGACACTTGGGGTGGTGTCCATGGCATGTGGCTAACCCCCACCTCGGTTACAGATGCATCGGTCTGCAGTGACGTCCTGAGCCAGGCTGACCTGTAAGCCAGTGCTCCCCGGGGCCACGCCCCTCTCCCCCAAAGCTGTACAGGGCCCACTCGGCTCAGGAAGGGTGGGGTCGGCCTTAGGGATCCCTCAACCAGTGAGGACGGGGAGCAGTCTCCTGTCCTGTGGATGGAGAGTTCTGGGGGATACACAGGACTTCGTGGGACTGACCCCGTAGCTGGGGTCAATGACCTTGCACATGTACCCACCCTCTGCCCGGCTTCCCTCCTTCCTTCCAGCTGTGCTTGAAAGGCGCTCACTGCAGGAGAGAAAGGGCCCGGCCCTTCCAGGGGCTTCCTGGGCCCAAGTCTTTGTCTTGGGCTGGGATTTCAGGGGGACACCAAAGCAGACAATGGGTGGTCCAGGGGAAGGAGTGAGAAGTGGCTGCCGTTTGAGCATGTTTGGAAGGGGTGGGGGGTCAATGTGACTTCTGGATGGACAGTCGTGCACAGCAGATCTAGGTCAAGGGTTGCGTTAAGGATTTGGCCAAGCCCTGTGGGCAGTACCAAGGACTAAGCTGAAATGTGGTGGTCTGAGCCCATCCTGAAACACCTGGCAGAAAGCCCAGGGGAGGGGGGGGGGGGCTTCTTGGTAAGGAGACCGCCCCAGAAACCCTGTGGCACAGTTCTCCATTGTAACTCTGAGAGTCAGCATCTGGGTGCGGTTTTAACAGGCAGGTTTTCGGCAGCTGATGGAGAGACTGGGTGGGTGAGCCCGAGTGCAGGCTGGAGCCTGCGAGCTGCCAAGAGGAGCAGCCAGTCCAGGTCAGGAAGGCAGTGCACGGATGGCTAGGGTCAGGAGGGCAGTCTGGGCTGAGAAGATGAATGGGGGGTGGTTGGCATCTTGATGGACCTCAAGGCCAGGAGGCTGGATGACATCACCGAGGAAGGGGCAAAAGACAGAGCAGGGGGCCCAGGATTGCACCCTGGGACCTCTAGGGAGGGGGATGCTAGCAAGGGACCAGCCGCTGTGGCAAGAGCACGCCCAAAGAGCCATGTTGTCAGAGAGCGAGGATGCAGACGGCCAGTGTCCGGTATGCGCCACGGCCGGCAGCCTCCCGTAGCTGGATGGTGGTGGTTGTAGCCGCCCACGCTTCCTCTCTGAGCTCAGTCCAGAGGTTCCCCTGGGCTCATTCGGAACCGAGACTCACCCATAATCAGACTCGTGTTGCCTGTAAGTGCCCTACAGTAGATTCCAAGTCACCAAGAACCGCCTCGTAGGATTTAAAGGGCCACCTCTTTCTCCCAGGGAGCCACTGGGTGGGCTGCTGTTGCACACTTTCAGGTTAGCCGCTGACTGCTTAGCAACACTGCCAACGGGGCTCCTTCCATGGGGCTTCTCGTTCCACTCGTAGTGACCCTAGAGGACAGGGTGTCGGACTGCGCCCGTGAGTTCCTGACACCGTGACTCTTTACGGGAGTAGACTCTCATCTTTCTCCAGCAGACCGCTGGTGGTTTCAAACCGCTGACCTTGTGGTTGGCAGCCCCATGCATAACCCACTACCCCACCAAGACTGGCACTTGAGAGGGTGGGACTTGCTCTACTGAGATTCACGAAGCTTCCTTGGCGCTTGGACAAAGCAGGTCAGAGTGATTTGGCCTTGGAGTGAAAATCATCCCAGTTCTTCGTGTACCTGGAGCCTAAGACGTGAACGAAGGAAGGAAGGCCAGCCCTTTCTCCTCTGCCTTGAGCCCCAGCCAAGCAAGGGCCTTCCCTTCTGGCTCAGGAGCAGGGTCTCAGGGGCCACCCCATCTTCCTCTCCAGAGGTCAGTGCTCAGAGGGGGTGTCCTGATTCATGGTATCCCCCATCCCCTAACGCCCCACCCTGTCTGGCTCCCTGGTGACCCTTCCTGAGGTCTGTGTCTTTGGTCCAGTGACGGGGTGGCACACTGGTAACGTGCTCCCCTGGTCACCAAAAGGCCAAGTCCACCGAAGGAGCTGGGAAGAAAGGTCTGGTGACCCACACCCAAAACAGGTAGACAGATAGATAGATAGATAGATAGATAGATAGATAGATAGATAG